GGGGGGGGGGGGGGGGTTGGACTTTTGGAACACCCTGTATATCAAAATGTACGGAATAGTACGACAAATAAAATGAACAGATTTTTGTTCGAATCCGGAATCAGTCATTTGAAGATGTACTAGGGCTGGAAAAAAAAATTGTCCCTTAAGAGAGTGTGAACAATTGCATCATTGCAATCCAAAATTACCTAAACGATCAAATTGAATGCATATTTCAAAAGAACGCAATTTTTGGAGAATTTTGGCGCAAAGTGGACCTCAAAATCTTTTTTCGTTCGAAAGATATGGAACTCAATGGTTTTCAACTTGGTAACACTGCTACGCGGAAAGAAATTCATTTCAGGCCTAGAAATTTTGGAAAAGAGCGTGGGTATCCTACTAGGGGGCCCTGCCCCCTGACCGCTACGCGGCCCAACCCCCGGGAGGGCGCCGCGGGCCCTATACGCATATGTATAGGCAAAGATGTTCTTCCTATTTAATACACCATTTTGTGTTCGAGCTGCATCGATTTCAAAATTTTTGACGTAACACTCAGATTTGTAAATGATGAGGAATAGCTGGATGTACATAATTTCACAGTCCACTTACTGGAGAAATTTCCATATGTTATTTTTAAATTCTTGATTTAAAAAAAAAAAAATCGGATTTCGACCGTTAAGAGTTAATAATATTTTATCCGTCCCGACGCGACGCAGCGCCTGCCTTCTCACTTTGTATCTGCTGTTCATCTGCTGTAAATATTAATAGAAATTCAGCAATCAAGTAAATTGACCAATGCCACAAATCGAAGCCGGAAGAATGCAGGAAAAATTGAGTTAAACCTTATACCTTGGACCTTGAACCCTGAGCGATGCACCTTTCCTCAACTCTTCGAATGAGGAGCCCTTCACGAGCTTTTCCATTGTTTTATTGTTTATTCGAGTCACTCAGGTAGAATCCCACACCTTGACGTTTCTAGCGGAAACGACATATCTCTCACGCTATTAACATTGGACTTAAGTGACATGAGCTTTAAAAGCTCAACAACATTAAAAGTTCGGGGTTTCATAATTTTTTGCACATCTACATCTACTACAGATGACATACATGTAAAGATCATCCTTATCGGTCCGGCAGTTCGTCAGAAATAGTGCTTCCAAGATTTTGCTTGTAGCTGTATAATATAAAAAAAAAAAAAAAAAGAAAAAAAAAGAAAGAAAGAAAGATAGTAAGGAGAAACACATGAAAAGTTGGATCCATTTCATTTGTGCTGCGTATCCCAAATTTGAGAGACATCCGATGGAAGTCCCGCGGACACCTCGCAAATGTTATGGTTTTCCGAGATATTCACGGGACGACTCAGGGACAGGTATTTAAGAATATTAATATTTTAAAAGCTCGAACATGCAAACTTTGCAACGATGTACCTCCGAGACCAGTCTTACACCCAAACTAAAATTTTTACTGGAGGCTCGTCCCATTATAAGGTTTCATTAAGGCCGCATACCATAGAAATCTTCGGGCTTCCCAATAAGAGGCTAAATAAGTCCCTCTTTTGGAGGGGCTCTTTCCTGATTTGCGAGGTCACTGTGAAATACTGTAGTATTATTTCTTCTAAAAGTGCCAACCAGTGCACGTTAATTTGATTTTTACCTAATTGAGTTTCATGAAAGTTTAAGACAGTGACTATTTATGATTAGAACATTATGTAATTGTTCAAATATACTACTAAGTGTTTTGAAAGTTTGGAGTATGGTGCTGCATTTCCACGAATGAGGATGGTTTAAGCGAACTTGGAAGAATCTGGGGTAAGTATGAATTTATTTAATGTTAAGTGAGTTTAAAAGTTGGAGTATGTAGGTTGTAACTATTTCTTATTTTTCATTTTCAGATAAATACATGAAGAAACAAATGAATGATGATTGTTAATAAGCTAAGCTCCCTCATTTAAACATTTCCTTGTTCTTAGAGGGTCCGAATTAGTTACTCCCTTATCGTTATTCAGTTGGTACAGTTTGAACTGGACCTAGAAAACACACTACTCGGACTTTGGTGCATGTATCAAATCAAACATACAAGAAAATAGAAAGAGGTGTTATCAGATTAATTGGCAGTTGTTTGCTTTTCATTGTCACGAGCAGTGGACCAATTTGCGCCTCTCCTAAAGGCAGCAACATTGCTCGCGATCAAACTGTAGCAAGTCCTCAATCTCTAGTGGACAACTGCACTCAGGTTGCTTCCAAACAGAAAGTAACCAATTGCCAATTCAGCTGACGTTATCTCTAAATCAAACTAAAGTTTCATATTCACTGGAAAGGCACCGGCCCTGGATGCCATTGCAAAATTAAAAACAATTTCACGTGCTTGCATCTGCCAACACCTCCAAAATGTTGAATTTTCCAGCAAGCAAAGTAAAAAGTTAGAATTCTTTGATCTAAAATAAGCCTGTAACTTCAATTTGGAGGGAAAATGTTCGGTATGTGTGTAGTTAAAAATCACTTTACCTTGTCTGCTGTGCTTTTCATGAGGACTGCTGCTTTTCATATCAGATCCAAAATTCCATACTGAGTAACTTGATGAAAGGCCACTTCACAAGAAAATGTTCCAAAACAACTCATAATCATAAGATAATGCCTATATGATTCATAGCCCAACAAAACACTAAGGTAGGTACTCGCAGCCGTGTCTCCAGGAGCTGAGGCCCAACTGAGAAATGAAATTGAAGGCAACATAACCATGGAAAGTTGTACTAACACGAACACGAATTGTGCAGAGAATATTCCTGACCGAAGGATTATGATTATTCCGGAGCATAAGAGTTCCATGCTGATGAGGGCAAAGATTTCCATTGGAGATAGGGGCATCTGAGTTGTTGCACCAAACTGACCGTACTTACTGCTGCGTGGAAACGAACGGTTTAATAGCACCACAACGTTGAGTACCTAATGTTCGCAATAACCGTAATCTGTTATAACACTACAAAGCTGTAAACAAGCTCCACTTTTTCACTGAATCAAAAGATTTGCTGACCTCCCGTGTTCTCGCTAACCACCGTCACGATGCGGATTCGACTAACTGAACTGAATGAACGAAACATAACCTCACTCTCAGAAAGTTTGTTTATGTTATGAATTTGTAGCTAGGGGTCTGCTACATAGTAAGCTAGTATTCTCCTGCCCGCAATATGGCCGTCCTTCTGCTCCTTCGGCCAATCACGTTCCTCGCATCCGCCAACATCGCTACGATGATGTCACTGAGAGAGTAGGCCACAGCTTCTCGAAAGTTTAGAGCGAACAAGACATTCTTCCACATGGTCCTCTTAATGTTAACATTTTTCATCTGCCTCCGAGGTGAGTAAATGGCTATTTATTCTCTGACATTTCGAATCTTTTTCTCGAGGAGTCTCTAGAACGAATCAGATAATCCAATTTAGATGGCTCCTCAGACCTCTCAGTCATGTCGCATGGGTACCCATCTCCCCTGAGCAGCAGCCTGGAATATTCCCTCAATACCTACCTAACTCATGCGTAGCACAGACTCATCAATCTTCGTATTTGCTATGAATTATTCCAATTTATTTTGGGGCCTTGCTGCCTATATGTCCAACGGAGGAATCTTCCAGTCTTGAGGATGAATTCTGTGTACCTCTCGGCATTGCTACATCGCTTTTATCCTGGCCAATTGATAACTGCTGTTCATGGAATAACATTGTACAGCTCATCAAATTTTATTTTTCCATAACCTCCTGGTGGGCAATTTTCCTTTACATCTCTTATGTGCCAATCTGAGCAGGCCGATTGTTGAATCGTTACCGAATGACCATAATCGATACATCCCTATCGAATGCTGTTTATCGATCACGATCATTCGATAATGATTCAACAATCCAGGCTCTGGTGTTGATTTTAAAACCTGAAATTTAGATCGATTTGAAGAAAGTGAGATTGTGCTTAATTATATCCCGGTCAGGAAACACTATTGTGATCACACAATTTCTTCCACTTACTTCGGCTCTTCTCTCTAATTATTGACAAAACATCACCCAGCAGCCCCTGACGACATACAATGACAGCAATAGTTTCCTACGCTATGCAAGAAGTGATTTTTTCCCCCTTTTTTTCTGGCGCAGAGTAATCACTTCATTATTTTGCTTAATAGTTCCTCATTGCAAATCTGTGAATTTCCCTCTCCCTCTGTCTCAAATCTTCAGAGGACACATTCTCCCTCTGTCTCAAATCTTCAGAGGACACATTTCTCCTTTGCAGCTGTTCACTTGGCAGTAGAAAAGAAAAAGAAAAGAAAGAAACGACCAGCAAGGCCTAACCACAAGCAATATTTGGATTGGTTGAAAAAGAATAAACCAAGTGCCAACGAGAGAAATGGCAAGCCGACATCTGAAGAACCGAGAGGGATACCCTCTACATCAACCACTACCAAAAGAAATGAGGATGTTGGTAACCGTGAGATTCCTTCCACTTCATTATTCTCTAAAGCCTATGAATCAACATCGGAGACGGTCAATGATTCATCCACCACCAGTTTTTCAAAGAAATTAAAAAATTGGGTGTTCAAGCACAAGATAACGCACATTGCCACTACGGATCTGCTAAAGATACTGCAAGAAGATGTTCCCTCATTGCATCATCTTCCAAAGACAGCATCAACCTTCCTAGGTACCCCTAGAGATGTTCTGTCGGAAAAAATCATTGACGGTGACTACCATTACTTTGGAATTGCCGAAAATCTAAATAGAATTTTGGCAAGCGAAAGGACCTTGCCGTCCAAGTTAAAGCTTATCATGGGATTTGATGGAGCTCCACTGACCAAATCTGGTAAGAAGGAGTTTTATCCGATCATGGTAGGATTCCTCAATGTCCCATCTAAAAAACATGTTGTTTTTACTGCAGCATTGTACTGCTCGGACGTGACATTGCAGAATCCTAAAGCCATTTTCAAGGATTTTATTCCAGAGCTCAATCGTCTCCATAAGGAAGGCCTTCTAATCAATGGAAAGCACGTTAAAATAAAAATGGCTGCTTATTGTATGGATGCCCCTGCCAAAGCTCTAGTTTTGGGTATCAATAACCACAATGCTTTTTCTTCATGCACCCGCTGCAAGGTCATGGGCAAAAGTTATGGCAAAAGACGATCTTACCAAGCCCAAACTTCCGCTAGAAGGCTGCATCAAGATTGGTTAGCTAAGTCAGACGACTGTTTTTTTTCAGGAGAAAACTGCCTGGCAGATATCAACGGTATTGATTTTGCAACCGAAGTGGTGCTGGACCATCAACATCTCATCTGCTTGGGAGTAATGAAGAAATTACTTGTCAATTTTTGGGTCAGAGGTTCTCACAAGAACAAATTCGCTAAATTATCAGACCATGACTTGAAAAGAATAAATCAAAGGATCTCATACCTGCATGACAAGAAGCTGTTTCCTCAGGAATTTGCCAAATACCCAAGAACTCTGGCCTATGTTGGGAAATGGAAGGCAACAGAATTCCGAGCATTTATTTTATATTTAGGACCTGTGGTTTTGAAGGACATATTAAATTCGAAAGCCTATGAACACTTCATGCGTTTTCACACTGCCATCACAATACTTTTGAGTGAGGTCCTTTGTAATAAACAGAATATTGCCTTCGCTGATCAACAGTTACGACTGTTCGTTCTTGAGTTTGCAGAACTTTATGGAGAAGACTACGTATCGCATAATGTTCATGGGCTTATACATCTAGCGGAAGATGCTGTTAAATTTGGTCCGCTCGATAATGTAGCGGCTTTTCGCTTTGAAAACCACTTGGGTTACCTCGTCTCTTTAGTTAATAAGCCAGCTGAAGCAGTGCAGCAAGTTTTCAGGCGTATCGATGAACGCGATCAGTCCAATTTTACACCAACCGCAGCTGACACCTCCACCAAACCATCTTTCTCAATGTCTCACGAAGGAGGCCCCTTAGCTCCGAAAACTTCAGATCCGCAATACCGTACAGTTCGTTTTCCACATTTTACCCTCTCGATACAAAGACCAGGGGATCAATGTTTCATGAGTCGTAACCACAAAGTAATTCTCCTGTCGAACATTGCCTCATCGATGAAAGATGGATCTCCAAAAATAATTGGATCTGATTTTTCAAGGAAAGAAGATTTCTACCAGGATCCTGTCGTGAGTTCATCACTAGGGATACAGGAGGTCAGCTGTCTCTCAAAAAAAGTCACTGCCTATGATGTTGAGGATATATTTTTAAAATGTGTCATTCTGCCATTTTTTCTGGACCCAAATGATCCAATTGGCACAAAATTGGTTAATGAAGATGGACTACGCATCATCTTTCCGATGGTGCATCTGGGAAGGTCAGGTAATCAGAAATCCTCCCCCCAAATTTTCCCTAACTGTCCGTCCATTACCTTGAAAGTCACCTTCACCTTCTAATTCATGATAATTCGTTAAAAGTCGAAGTCCTTAGTATCCTTTTGTATGAATACAATGGAAGGAAATCATTAACTCCAGGAAAATTTAAAGCCATGACAGCAAAGGAATTATTTTCTGTGTATTTTATTGGCCCGGGTTTTGAAGTTTTGCATTGGATTGATATTTTAGATTCCTTGATAAATTATTGCAAAATGTTGATACGGTTTTTCCAACTCCTTTTTAAATCTATATTGAGAGAAGAGAAAGGAAAAACCATTATAAAATTTTATAAATCCACTATAGAAAGCTGAATCCTTTAAATTTTTCCGATTTTCTCCTTATCTTCTAAGGTGAAGCAGTAAAATTTATGACTAAAAAATGACGGGCTTGGAGGACAAGGTGCATAAGTGCAGTTGTGGAAAAAACAGAGATGGTAAGGGTTTCAACTACAACAGATCTTCAAGGGTACTTAGTCAAAATTTCACTCCCAAATTCCAATTTTTAAGCATCAATAAGTAAATGTGAACTCTCCCCCATAAGGCTCCATACAATTTTGTTACTAAAAAGACACATTTCTCGAAATAGTAAAAACTGCACTTATGCACCTTGTCCTCCAAGCCCCTCAAATGTAAAACCAAAGTACCTAGCCTCTGTGCGCAATTACCTCCTTACTGTTCGCTTTTTTGTTGTTTGTTTTTCTTACCTAGTGATGCTACTATATTTCTTTAAAATGTGAATTGTCACTTATGCTTTGACTTATTTATTTTCTTTCAGAATAACAACACCATGAAGCAATTTGTATTAGTGAAATTTACAGGGCAAGAAGGGGGGGGCGATATTGTTCCCCTCCATTGGATGGACAAGACTGAAAAAAAAGTTTGGTGGCCGCCGAAATCTTATTCTAATCAAAAAGTTACAGACCTTATAAAGAAAGGACAGCCGAAAGAAAGAAATTGGATTTCCTATTCAGTACATCTTCTGTCCAACCAAAGATACAGTAAGTTTTTTCAATTAGTTGTAAATTCCATCATCAACCTCTTCTAATTTTTCTTTTGACTCAAAAATTTCCATTCCTTTAGCGACCTGATTTTAATTGAAAATTGTGGAAGTTTTGCTCCAAAACTCCAGTCAACCATCCTGTTTAGTTTCATCGGCCATCAACATATTTTCCTTCCAATCAGATGTGATAGGCCACTATCGCCGCAAGCAACAAAACTTTCTCTTCAATATCAAATCATTAAGAAAATAATGTACCCACTGCCCTTAATATTGTATAAATGAATCCCTAAATTAGTTCGAATAGTTGTTTCTTTTTTCTTTTTTTGCTAAATGTTTGTACCGATTTTAGCTGATTTGATCATTCTATAGTACTTCCTTTTAAGTTTGCTGAGTGCAATAATCAAAAGTTTTGCACTGCTACCTATCACGAAAGTTTCATTTTTAAAATTTCGAATCAATTTCTTGATCTCCTCAGCTTTTTATCGAATCAGAGAAGTGTGGACACAGTACTATGCTAAAACTTTTACAATATATTTCAATCTGTCAAACTGCTCAGAAGGAGCAGCATTCGGAGAAAGAGTTACACAAGAGCGTGCGATGGAAATTAAATTATTTTCTATTCAGAATGCATTGAATTAGTACATTGATCTCTGTTTCAGATTCCTTTACTAAAGCAGAAAAAGCATTTCTGGCAAAACAGGCCGAGTTTTTAAAAGCAGCCACAGACACAGAAGATGACTCCTTAATTTTAAGAAGGCATTCGGAGGCAAAGAGGCAAGAGCCTCAAACCTTGTCATCACCTTTTGTTGGCAATTCAAAACTCGGTGAGAATCTATTCTGCATTTCATTCCAACAATGTCTTTAGTTTAAAGGGCCTCGCCAAAAAAGGGGTATTTTTTAGCCTTTTTTTGGATACCCGAGTTGGTCAATGGGACAAGGCGCAAGTAAAAGCTTATGGTAAGGGACTTCCAGGCGAAGTTTCAACTTGAAGTGACCCCTCGTTTAGGCTGTAAAGCGTACCCAATTTTTTGTTTCTATGTGCTAAAATCAAGGAATTCTGGACTATTAATCCAGTGCATCAAAGTTAAGCAGACTAGTGCACCTGAGTTAGTCGACGGGACAAGGCTCATAAGAAAGCTTATGGTAAGGCAAAGTTTCAAATTGAAGTGACCCCTCGTTGAGGCTATACAGCATCGCCAATTTTTCGTTTTTATGTGCATAAATCAAACAATTCTGGACTATTAGTCCAGTGTTTTATAATTAAACAGACTTGTACATCGGTCTGCAGGCTGAATACTACCCTGAGATTGTATAAAAATGCAAGTGAAGGTCATCGTGAACTTTTCAAAGCAGTGTTGCCAATTTTTCATTTGTTTTTATAACATAGAATGAGGGTATTTTCGAGATTTTTGGCGGAAAATGTATCTTCATGGGCTATAACTTTGACAAGTATAGGCAAATTCAATTTTTTGTAGGAACGAAAACTAAATTCTATGGCCTGAGGCTCTCTTGCCTGCTCCCAGATTAGAGAAAACCACTGGAATCACGTTTTGCTTTTCAAAAATGGAGCTGAAAAATATCTTCATTTTATCATAAAAACGCCATGAAATGGTAACATTGGCTTAAAACTTCGTCTTCTCCTTTAAAAACCAAGCCTACTGTGTTGTATGGTAATATTTTGCCTACACCAAATGGTGACAGCACCAAATAATACAATTTTCGTGCCAAAAACTCAAAAATATCAGCGTCTCACCGTAAAATAAATGTTCACAATTTGGCAACGTTGCTCTGAAAATTCCATTTTTGCCTTGAACAGTAATTATGTACTATTCCATGGTGGTACTCAGCCATCAGAATGGGAGAAGTGCCTTGAAAATTACGTTTTCGGAGCATTCACTTGAGAATCTCTTTAATTCTCGTAAGAAATTAAAATAAACTTGGCAACATTGATTTAGGAAGTCGATTTTCTATGTAAGTAGCGATCATTTACTATCGTATGGTAATGTTTTTAGCCCAAACTCGTCAAAGTTATAGTTGATGAAGGGACGTTTTCCGCCAAAAAGCTCGAAACTACCCTCATTTTAAGTTAAAAAAATTAATAAAAAATTGGCAACACTGTTTTCGAAAAGTTCACCATCGCCTTTAGTCGCGTCTCTATACAATCTCAGGGTAGTATTCAGCCTGTAGACCGTTGTACAAGTTTGTTTAACTATAATGCACTGGACTATCAGTCTAGAATTCCTTGATTTTAGCACATAAAAATGAAAAATTGGCAACGTTGTACTGCCTAAATGAAGAGTCACTTCAAGTTGATACTTGGTATGGAAGTTTGCCTTACCATAAGCTTTCATTTGAGCCTAGTACCGTTGACCAACTCGGGTATCCGAAAAAAGGGCCTAAACTTGGCGAGGCTCTTTATAGCAGAGTTTAAACGGGACTGGAAATTCCCAGAAAAAAATAGGAAGTTAACTCCAGGACGGAAGAAATAAATAAATCCTTCATTTCTGCATCATTACATGCATCAACATTATATCTCGAACCACCAGTTGATCCACAAGAACTCCACCACTATGACTGATGTGTCATTGTAAATTATGTCGTTATAACTGATGCATAAATACATTGAATCTATGGGCTTTCAGCCAGGACCAATTAGATCCTAGCTTTACGTCCCAATTCTACAGTAGATTTCTTCCTCCCAACTTACTTTACTTAATACTTTTCTCTTTTTTTTCAGGTAATCAAGAAGAGGAGGATAAAAATAATGATGATAAAGATCAGGATGATACAGTTAATAGTAATCATGACAATGAGGATCAGGATGATATAGTTGATAGCAATGATGACAATGCTGAGGATGAAGAATCGGATGTTGGTGAGCATAATCTTTAGTTTCCTACTTTTTGGATTTTCATCTGTACAATAACCTGCTTAATTTAAAAAATAGCTACAGGGATAAGGGTAGCCATGAAAATCTTAAGTTTAAGAGTGGAGCAAGAATACCTGGATCCATATAAAATTACCAATGGCAAGAGGGAGAATGCATACCCCTTGACAGAATTGGCTCTTTGATGAAATTGAAACATGTTTCTCTCCTTGTGCGAAACCTGGACTATGCGACTGAGTTGGAGGAAACATAGTGAAAACAGGGGATGGCTATAGAATAGTTCTTTTGTTATGACAACATTTTTGAGATGGAAAAAAAAGCTCCTTTCTTCTTTTTTGTTTAACTCATTATTTAGAAAAGAGTAATCTTAAGAGGATGTTTATTTGGGAAAAAGTCTGGAACTTACTGGACCCATGAGTGTTCTTCCATGTTTCTCTAGAGAATTAAATTCTCAATTTCAGGAAGTTACCAACTTCCGATAAGTCTGGGTGAACCTGAAAATGTCTGTAAAATTTTTGGAGCCGGAAACTCATTAGGTCAGACGATTTTGTTTTCTAACATTGAATTCTTGTCCCTATTGAAATGAAAGAAATGCTCTAATTCATGTGCTCCATCAGTGGGGGAGCTTCCCCTTAAATCCATTCCCCTGCCCAGCACCCTTGGTAACTCGGGTGATGGTCACAAAAAAGTTGTCCAAATGAAACTTTACATCCTATTTTAAGTCTGTGCATTTGAAAATTGTGAGAAAAATGTTCAACGGTTTTTCTCCAAATTAGGTAACTGCTCATTAGGGCAAGTTCGGCAACATTTGATCCCTAGTGCAGCATTCTTTCTTTACCACAGTATTATCTATTATCAACGCGCATCATTTTGTTATTCCTCCCTGATTTTCTTTTATTCTACCTCTTTCAGAGGAAATTCCACAGGATAATGAATCCGAAGAAAATCCAAATGATGGTGATCCCAAAGAAAATCCAAATGATGGTGATCCCAAAGAAAATGACCACCAGGCAAAAGGTAAGGTAACAAATTAAGTATAATGTTGAAAATGTCGTTTTTTCCTATTTTTTAAAGCAGACCTTGAATTTTGCACAGATGTGCCTGGTGAAAATTATTGCCTCACCCAACACCCTTCAAAAATCAGGCGAATAGCAGGAAAATTATGTCGTACCTAAAAGCTTACAAAAAGGAAGAGATAAGAAATTTTTAACTGCAAGGAAACTTTTCACTTAATTAGCAGACAAGGCATTTATGAAAACAGTTTTTCTTCTAATTTGTCTCTGGAAAAAAATCAAACATTTTAAATGTATCCAATGATTTGTTGCATTTTAAAAAGTCGCGAAATACATAATAATTCATTTTCAGGGGGACAGAGCTCTATATTCTCTTTCTTAACTTCTTCCATAATAACAGAAAGGGTACAATGGAGTTGTTGCATGCCGCACTTACTTGAACATTGAGTAATTAGCCACTTTTTAAATTTTAAGAGAAGCTGCATGTTTCAGTATCCGCAAGTGTCACATCTATTTTGCCTCTCTATTCCATGCTTTAATTTTTTTTCTCTTTTCAGATTCAGAGATTATCGATCGACTTGAGCGTATCGAGAATATGATGCATAAACACCTAGTGGGCGATTTTTTTTACGACTATGAAATTATCGATAATATGCTGCCCTTAGACAATGATACAAAGCTGACAGAATTTGAAAAAAAATGCATTTCAAACCCAGAATTCAAAGAAAAAGCTGTAAGTTTTGAAGTAATATATTTAAATTTTTACACCTAATTTTTCATTCAGACGGTTTCCTACTCTGGTTGTTTTTTTACGTACATATCTAGGAGGATTGGTCTCGCCTACCTAGAATTAGAAAACACATTCCATTAGACCTTATCTTGCCTCCAAAAGTGTGTTCTGCAATGAAACTTAGCAACTTTGCTCTGCAGAAAATTCTATAATCTAATATTACTACCTGCTCCTTTTTCTCGTCAAAAGTTCATTACTCACTTTTTTAAGAGAAGAATAATAAACTATTCCTATACTCACTTCTAATGGTTTTAGTGATTTCCTTCTACAGTGACAGTCATTACAGAATCGCACCGTAATTGGTACAGTCGCCCCTGAGTTTTCTTGCTAATCACGGAGGGAATTTATAGAGTGAATGATTTTGAAAGCAAGTACTTTTATGCATTTTTTAAATAAATTTTATTTGTCAATAAATTATACCACTGCTACTAACATGGCGCTTGGCGCTCTTATAGAGGTTCTGTGCGCTCTGCGACACCCAACTGCCACTGATAGCGATCCTGCCAGAGCTCCTCGAGCAAATTGCATCTCCTCATTTCTTCACTTAAAAATCAGAGAGATGGATCCAATTCTCACCAGTTGACCAGTTCCACTCATCTAAACAGCTCATTTACCTTTGGATTCTCATACATTCATTATTTCAAACTTTCCTCAGCCTAATTGCATTTTTACTTTAAAGTGAAGTAATTTCTCCAATTGTTTCCATTGATGTTTTCAGATCAAATGGGTGTGCTGCATGGGGGGGAAAGATGAGGGGAAAATAGTGACAAGATCGCTAAAGCAAATTCTGACCCCTGAAGTAGCGTCATTGTTTTCTTATGAGGGCCGAAAAACCAAGAGGTCTTTTCAAGTTCTTCAGCTTGACAGCATTTTAAAAAGTAAGTAAATTTTTTAAAATGTTTCTTCTCCTTTTGAAAATGTTTGAATCAAAACCAGTTTGCTGTCCATTCTCGCATTCTTTTATCTGGAACACTTACTGGCCATCGATAAAGTGAAGCATCTTGGTGATCTTAGATGATACTTGACAATAGAGGACAGCAGTTGAAACCATCCATAGCTATAAAAAAAGGAACCTTTAGCCTTTTTCAAATGGTTCTCTCGCATCGTCTTTCAAATAATGAGTTTGATTCTCAGCAGTATTCTTCCCTTGTACATGAACATTTGTTAGGGTTAAACTCTCTCAGCAGCTTCGCTAATTTAAATCAATTATCTATTAAAAACAGAAAAATTTACCAAAAAAATGTAAAAACTCACTTGCATGTAAAATTCTAAAATGCTAGGTGCATTTTGGCATGTCGTTCTGTACTCAGTGGTGCCACTTGTGAGATGACAATGGTGATGACCAAAACTGATAGAAACTACTGAGTGACAACACTGATGACATATTTGTGGTACCACTAGAAATGAACATATTATCCAAAACAAGTCTGGTGTTATAGAATCTTAGGTGTTAATGAGATTTTTCAGTTTTTTTAAAAATTATTTTAAACCCTTTCTTGTGCTCTACCTCTCCTCTCTATTGACGTTTATGGAGCCTAGTTGAAGATTTGGATGTAGAATTTCAAAGAAAATCTCACTCTGGTATCCCAAAGATAAATTTGTAAGTGGTTGAGTACATTTTTTTGCCAATGGAAAGTAAGAAGTTTCATCATTATCCAACAATTTTATGTTGTGGGAATCAAAGATGATGCTTCTACTTATTTTTTTTTATTTATTAATTTATTTATTTATTTATTTTTATGAATGTTTTTTAACTGTTGGCTCCAAAATATCCTGCAAGTCAGATTTGATAATTGTATATTGGGTGGCTATTGTCTCACAATTTTTGTTGAAGATTCATGTATGCTCTATTAGTAAGTATAGATTTTCAGATTTTGTTGCCCAATTTTTATCCTGATTCTCAAGGGCCAGCACTGAGAAGGACTCCTCAGAGGCTGAGTTCAATGTTCCGACTTTAAAGTTGTATTTATGCATTATCCAGTCATCCATCTTGGGAGTACTTAGATGTTACATAATGTGATAAAAAGTCTTTAAAATTAAATATTTTGTTTCCTTTGGCAGCTGCTGCGAAACGCCGGTTGCGGGCTCAGTACGATGAAGATGAACTTGAAAGTGCGATAGTTAACTTCTTGAAGCATGCGCCAGACCTCAAGCTTGCAGATCCAGATGAAAAGTAAGTAATTTTTTATTCTGTTGCCCGACTGGACATTTCTGAAATTTTAAGTTGATGATACTATTATTGATGAAATTAATGATAAGAATGATTATTATTCTAGAGGAATGACAATAATGTGGGGAGAATAAATTTTTATTTTTTCGTAAATCTGCACATAACCTTAAATTTATGACTCTCTTGATGGACCGGAAGAATTTGACATAATTTTTTCATTTGAATTTCTAAGTCATGCATGTGCAGACTGGATTGCTGGGTGTTGTCTGGCATGTTTGCTCATGATGACAACTTCTTGAGTAAACTGGTAAAATTGGAAATAGTCTGAAAATCGTATTTAGGTGTCAAAAATTGGAGAGAAAAGTGCAGGCATTTCCCAATCAAACTTGAATTTTCTTGTCCTGTAGAAACTCTTGAATGACTTAAATGCATCTTGTACTGAATCACCAAAGATCAAGCTTCGGATATGTTTTTTTTAAAGAATTTTTAGTCTCAACATCTTTGAAGAATCAGCTAACTGAAAGTTTGAAGAGCTTTTGTCATCCTGGTATTCTTTTAAGTACCTCCAACATTACGGCCAAAAAGAGCAGTGCTGAGTAACTATTGGACTTCACTTAGCAAGAAGGAACTACAATTTCTGGTTCATACACATAAAATTAAATATCTGCAAAGGAAAACCTCATTCCCTTTCTGAAATCCATCTTTATTATAGTTAGAGTTACAGGGAAAGGCTAGAAGAAAGTGGATTTGTTGAGTCTCCAGACGTTCTAAAATGAGATTTTTCCAAAAAAATAAACCACTCTGGATGTAAGATACATTCTAATATGTTTCTCTAATCTTGTCATACTTTTTAATGCTTCTTTTCAGGGCAGAGGAACCAAAAAAAAAGAAACGGAGGATCCAGAAAAAAATGCCATTCTATTTCACTGATGGCTACTCACAGTCCATCATTTCAGTGGCTCAGACTTCAAAAGACACAAACAAACCAGCAACTACTGTACAAACAACAAGTACTGCTCAAACAAATAAGCCCGTAACTGAAAATACATCAGCTCAACCAAATGAGCCAACTAAAGAAAAAACATCTTAGGTTTTTTCGTTGTTTTTTTTTTTTTTTTAAGTATTGTTTCTTATTTTTATTATTTTAATGTTTTCCACAAATGTGTTCTTTGCAAAGCCAGCTGAACCAGACATACCTTAACTTACTTTTCTTTTTTCATGCATTAGTATTATTTCTATCAGTGTTGCCACTCAGTTTTTTTTCCACTTCCTCTAAAACTCAGGTTTCAAAACGTAAGTGTACCTTTACCTAACTTATTACTGCAGAACTTGTATTTCAGTTAAATTTAACCAACTCAGCTAAGAAAAGCTGCTTTTGGTGAAAGAATGTCCCTATTCCCTCCTTTTTACTCAATCGACATGCATTTTCCAGTGCATTATTATTGCTTTATTGGTTCGCCAAATGTGTTCTATGCAAAGCCCATATCAATTTATTATTAAACATATTTCCATCGACTTAATTCAAGTTAATTTGATTATAAGACATCAAAAATTAGCTGAAGCAGACATAGCTTACCTTACTTGTCTTTTTTCGTACATTAGTATTATTTCTTTACTATTCCTATTATTATTTCTCTATTGTTACTTGAGATTCAATTTATTCTGTTCTTTATTAACTCAGCTAAGAAAAGCTACTTTGGGCAAAAGAATGTCCCTATGCCCGCATTTTTACTCAATCGACATGCATTTTCCAGTGCATTATTATTGCTTTATTGGTTTGCCAAATGTGCTCTATGCACATTACCATTACCATTTATTACTCAACATTACCATTACCATTGCCATTACCATTTATTATTCAACATATTTCCATCGACTTAATTCAAGTTAATTTGATTATAAGACATCAAAAATTAGCTGAACCTGACATAGCTTACCTTACTTGTCTTTTTTCGTACATTAGTATTATTTCTTTATTATTCCTTTTATTATTTCTCTATTGTTCCTTGAGATTAAATTTATTCTGTTCTTTATTTCTATAATTATTTTTTCCACTTCCTCTAAAACTCAGGTTTCAAAACCTAAGTGTGCCTTTACCTGCCTTATTTCCGAAGAACTCGTATGTCAGTTAAATTTAACCAATTCAGCTAAGAAAAGCTGCTTTGGGTGAAAGAATGTCCCTATCCCCGCATTTTTACTCAATCTACAAGCATTTTTTAGTGCATTATTATTGCTTTATTGGTTTATTGTTTTCAGATAAGTATTACGTATTCCAGAACCTCAGGTTTCAATGTCAAAGTCGGTTCCAGGATTGCCGACAGTTTGGAAAATTAGGGAATTGGTGGTGACTGCGAAAAGTCAGGGAATTTCTGTCATGATAAGTAAATACATTTACTTATCACTAAAACGTATCGCTGATCTTCCAACTATTTATCCTTTATAGTCTTTCTAAGGCTTGTCATATTTTAACTAGATACCGAATGCCTTTTTCCTTCATTGGATCTAAAAAAATTTAAGTACTTTTAAAATACTCACAGTTCAGAGGACAACTCAGGACGATAGATCGTTAATACTGATTTTCAGAAAAGAAATATCCACTGACATGTAACTATTGGTATGAAACTTAATCAGAACCGCTGATTGTGAGAGATGAGCTGCGTACCTAGTGAGGAGTGAGCTTATCATGGATGGATCTGCTTGCGTAGTGCAGGTCACTTCAGCCACAAAGGTAACCCCAACGTCCTGAATGCGATGATGAAGGAATAATCGCTTCAATAAAAATTGGATACTATAGTATTATAGAGTAGAATTTTCTATTTTGAAAAAATAATCTGTGCAGAGGTTGAAAAAAAACTCCATCCCATTCAAAAAAACAAAAAAAAAAATATAGGCGAAGAAGAAAATGTTGAGTAACCGCCCCCAGGGGGGCCTTGAGGGGATCTCTGAAATGAGCTCCACCCTTAATAAATCAGCCTTTTCCACGATGACCATCGGTCCAAACTGGAACCTGTCATGAAATTTATTCGCATGATATTTTAGGCTCCATCGGGGCGATTATTGAAATGATATCGACTGTATGTCAGCGCTTTGTCGTGTCGCGCCATCGACTAAGCAATGGCTTAGTCGATGGCGCGACACGACAAAGCGCTGACATACAGTCGATATCATTTCAATAATCGCCCCG